AAATAAAATAAATAATTATATATACATATATAAATGTGCATTAAACGTACTGTAGTATAAATACACATATTTCTGTCTCACAATCACTAATAGTCATCCTAATTTTGCTAAAAATAGTTACACACTTTAAACCACTTTTTTAAATTGATTTGGCAATTCTAATATTAGTATTGTAATCTATAATTTTATTTTAAATTTAAGAATGACATCTATACTATTACAGACAAAATATACCTCAATTTCTAAAAATGAGAAATATTTTCATAATATTCCCTATTATTGTTAATTACTTTTGTTCACCTTGTAAGTCCAACGATTTGTCACTGTTACTGTTTCTGGGTTTTAAATTTTGAATGTCACTGATTCTTGTCTTGTTTTCAAGATCAGAATATTTAACTTTGACTACAAAATAACACAAAAGACAATATTTCTATCGTCATTTTATATGCATTGATATATACGTGTTATAACATCGACATCAATGGAGGAAAAAATGATTTGAGAAAATAAACTTCAGTTTTTATTAAGCTATAAATAATGCAGACAGAACTCACGGTATTGATATGCACTTTATCGGTCGCCATTGTCTTCTGAGTTAGGTATATACGTACTATATATCACGAACAAATAGTAAATAACGCAATATTATGAACGTTAAGTATTTATATATCAGTACATGAAAGAATGTTAAGGTATAAATCTGAAGTAACGCTGTGCACCATGAAACTCATATTTAATACATAATTTATAAAAATCGATAATTTATTAAATCGATATTCATCAATAAATTTATTTATCTCGACAGATAACACGCAAAAGCATCAAATTATTCAAAAACTATTGATTTCTGGTTTCATACTTTCGTTCTCAAGAACCAAGTTCCTCGATAAATGGTAAGCAAATGGTAATTATGGTATCGAATTATGCTACATTAACACGAATGCATGGGACGATTCATTGTCAGTGACGATATCAAAGATACAAACTAACAGTGTTGTACAGATTAGTTGAAAATTTTCAACTATCGAGTTATTTCTGGCAGAATGGATAATATGAAATTTCGTAGAAATATCAATTACAATGCTTTATTCTTGTTATTTTATCGATAAATATGAAAAAATACGTTATTTACAATTTTTTAATTTGCAATGACATTTCTGTTTGATATACTATTTATTCAAGTATGAAAAGGGAGCCTTAGAAACCATAGTTTTACGTTACTTTGTAGTAATAATTATTTCATATAGACATAAAGTATCAACAAAGAACATTTTATAACAAAAATTGTTTTCGAAGAAATTATATTTTTTGGTTTTGCATTTATTCCAAATTGAAATTTTAAATACAAATAAGATTTTATTTTAAATATAATTTCGACACAGAATAATTACGGTTTTCGAAAGAATGAAATAGAGAAATACTGTTTATTAATGACAATATTTTACCACTTATTTAAAAAAATGAGAAAATTTAGAAATGGAAGGAAAATAATTATCGAATTAAAAACGGTTATCTGCTTATAAATGCTGCGATTCTTATTATAAAGTACGTATATAGCACATCGATATCTGCTGTATACAGAACACGCAATATTACGAAATGAATTCTACACGACACAACATCGAAAAATTTATAAATATTAATTTTCAATATTTTCACATTCCTCTCATTTCAATATAATTTGTTCAACGCGACGTCAATATGAAAGAAGGTATAGTCGAACTTCCATAACTCGAACCCTTAAAGGGAAAAGCTAAAATTTTAGGGTTATAACGGTTTTTCGAGTAAAAGAGGCTTAAAAATGAAAGAAATTCATATACAGCTCACGTCGTACTATGTTTAATTTTATTTGAGAACATATAAGCCTCTAAAATGTGAATAACGAATTTCTGAGACCTCATAACGCGTAGGTTATAAATTTCGAGTTCAATTTATAAAACTATACTTCCACTCGTTGACCAAAATTCTAATTAATCAAGTAAGAGAATGCATCTAATACGTGAGAAAAAATTCCAGTTCAAGTAAATTCGAATTATCGAGGTTCGCCTTTAGAATAAAGCACAAAGAAATCAGCTGTAGAAACTTACTAATAATAACAATGCGTTCAAACAGTCGGTCGATAACGTAGATCGAACGTAGATCGATAAAGAAGACCGAAAAACGGACAGAGCGGTTTAGGTAAGATTATATTTTCGTTATTTCCAGTACGTTTTTCACGCGCAAAAGAAACATACCGCGAATTGTTGGAGAGGATCGATGACCGACAAGAATTTTGCGTTCCGAGCAAGGACAAAATTCTAACCAGAAACAGGACATGGCAGCGTACCGCGAACGTAACGTAAACGTTGCGAGCGGTGGCCAGTTCTTTGATATCGCTGAAGCGTGAGGACGTTACGGCAGACGGACGGACGAATGGTCGGACAGCCGGGTGGACGGACTGACGAGGGGTCTGGTTATGATTGTGATATTACAGTTGGTACGTAGTCTCTCGGAATGTTGTCTGCCTTTCTCTCTCGCGCGGCCGTCCCTCTTTCTCTGCCCCTACTCTTGCCCCTACTCCGCCGCCGCGCCCCACCCCGCGCTCACACCGGCACTCACCCCACTCCTCTTACACAGTTTCTGCCTATGTACGTTCTACGCGAATGCATGCCTACCCATCAAGCTGCGCAACGTGGAGCTAATCAAACGGGCCAACCCACTGTGCGAATATTAATTAAACTCTCCGTTACGCCTGAATAGCGTGCACAGAGGGCAAGAGAAGAAGAAAGAGGGCAAAGGTACGTGGCGCAGGAGGATAACCGTTTGTCGTGTTACGTTCCGGCACCTGCGAACATCGCACCTGTCGACAAAGCTTTCATGCCGAGTACCATTCTCTTACAAGGTGTTGGAATGTTAAAGGAGATTTTCATTTATATCTCTCGTACGTTCTCCGATTCCGCGTGCACGTTTAATTAAAAAATAACTCCACCAATCAAATTCGCCATTTCATATCATCTCCTTTTTCGCTTTCTCTAACTTCTTCGTTTCTTTTAGGTTAGTTTCCGCTAACTATCTAGTGGAAGGTGTATCCTGCCGATTTCAGCGACTTTTGGGAATGCTTTTAAGATTTTTCAATTAAATCTTACTATTTTCTTCACACGTGTCACCGCTATTTGGCTTTTATTATCGACATGCCCGCAAAAGTATATGTTTGGAAGTAGGTTAGGGTAAGTAATACCTCTATCGGTAACACTGCGTTGGTTATTTAGCAGAATTTTAATTTCGATAACCAAATAATCGAATTAATTTTTCGACATGACGACTGAAATATTTCCCACGGACGAAGTCATCACGAAATCTCAAAAACGTGTCAAAAACTACGCAAGTCCAAGCAAAGGACATTTATACGAGGGAAAGTTGTTCAGAACGTGGTCCCTGGCAACGTATCTCGAGGTCACTGAAATCTGTGAGAAGTACCTTATCGCAGTAATTACTATAGTTTACTTCTGATAATGGACTTACATCATTTAAGAAGATTCAGAGGACAAGTTCTTGCATTCTTTTAGGTTCTTTAAGAAGACTGTCCGTTGCAGTTGTGTTCGCTACACGTTGCGCAGCTACTAAAGCAATCTGGTTACTGGTTCTCATAGTAATAACGATAGCGGAGGCGTGTGGAGAACTAAACTAACAGATAGTGTCTGGTTTTATTATTGCGATTGTCCAGCCAGTACGTGTTTCTGCGCTACGGAACAGACCACGATCGAATCCGAGATATCCACTTCATTATCCTTTAAATTGTATCGCGCCCAATGACGATGTTCTTACTCTTTCTGGTATCGACACTTCGAGAACTCCTTTTCTCTTCCATTTGTTACGAGCATTTAACTTTTCGATCGATTACCGGTATCTGTACACGTACACAGTGAAGTTGCACTTACGGCAGATTTACTTTATTTAATTAATATTGAATTGTTTAATCCTTTGCACTGCAATGACGAGTCTAACTCGTCGCAAATTCTTCGTGTCAAATCTCATGATTGTAAGCTACACTAATCATGCGACTATAATTGTTTCAACGTGCACAAAATTCGAAAAATTTCCAAAATTTTTATCTAATTTCATCATGCATGGAATAGGTATGTAGGTATGCGGTTAACTAGAATTAAATACCACTTAGATGTATACTTTTTCACAATTAAATTGTAGTGTATTATTTGAATCGTTGTTCAGAGATTATCGTTAATGTTAGAGAGATCAGAGTACGGGTTTATATGGTATTTAGTGCGAAAGTGAGAAATTCGAAAAAAATATTTCAGTGATAAAAGTCGTAAAGTTGGGAAAATGAAACGTGATAGTAAATATGACGACAGGTGGTGTAACGTAAACGTTAGGTATTAATAGTAGCTCACAACCTGTATTTTCTATCGAAAATATAAAACCACTTGCAATTGTATAGCACTGAAAAAAAAAAATAATATCGGTTTCACGAATGAAAAAAGTGTAACATTAATGGAATGCATTGCACTTAATAATATAAAAGGGATAGATTTTAATGAAATTTGTTGTATCACATGATAAAGGTTAAAGAACAAAATTCTTAATTATTATTAATTATTAATGTTGAATGTGGTAACATAATATAGTGATTTTCAAAAAGTTATTTTGCGATAATTGAGTTAAATTGAAGAAGAGAATTTTAAAAACTTAAAAAATTGTTATTGCAACAAACAAATTTCTTTTTGTTTATTATTCCACGAATCATTGCAAATTCGAAATTTGAGCAACCGAACTTCTTTCTCCCTAGTTTCTCAAAGTTCATTTTTGACGAAATAAAATTTTCTCAATAAACGATTATGGTTTCTTTCAAATGACAAATTTCTTCGTACATTATACTATGTAACAATAAATAAAGTAATTGTACAAATTGTTAAAAAAATATATATTTTATCTTACAAAAATATATATTCTTTTATATATATTTTATTTTTCTGAGTTTATAGAAGAAGCATCTAAATACAATTAGATGTTACTATAATCTTACAAATTAATTCTAAGTGTTATGCAGAAACAACCATAACATGTTTTATTTCAACGTTAATAATAATTAACATTAATAGTTTTAATTTTTCTAATTTTCTCTGGAAGTTGAGGTTATAAAATAATATGGCCGTTTGAGAATTTCATGTTCCTAACCTCCAATTTTCCACTGCACGATCAATTGTATTTCCAAACTATCACATTATCATCAAAGCGTAACAAATGCTGTTATTTAAATACAAAATAATTCTTAGTAGGTAATACTTAAAAACAGATCTCGTGTTATTTTCTTCTGTACGAACGTGCAGTTTTACACAGGATATCTTGAATACCTAACCTATCCGGATACTTTCACGAGTACCTATAACATCAAATGTAAGAAGAGAGTGGATAGATGACACGCAGACGCTAAAACGTGTAATTAAATCCAGTAAAAATCTTGTCTGTTCCATTCCACTAAACACGATGGCGATGGTCACTTAGTTACAGATAAGCAAATGAAAAGCACTAATATACAAAGAAGCAGAGATTTTAAGTCTCATATGGCTTCTCATGCTAATTGCACCGGGTCTGGGTACCTAGATGCATTTTCAGTTTTATTCTCGTGCAAGTATCAGTGTGTATAATTCGAGAGTATAATACGAGGAAATATCGAAATGTCTGTGAGAGAAGAAAAGAGATCCGTGGACAAGTACTCACGGTTATCGAGGTAGCAACGAAAGCTGTAGAACTCTTATATAGATGTCAGATTTCAGATGCTGTAAACAGTATATGGCTCGTTGTAAAGGCGGCCCCTTTGATACCATGGACCCCATAATGCGTCGATACATACGTAGAGCCTCCATCGTAAATACCACAACTCTCTCTTTCTTCGCCACTCCCAACTATCTTTCCTACCTCGTCCCTTTACTTCTTTTCTTCCTATATAAATTAGCTTCCACCTTCGCCATGTAAAACTCTGTCAGCCATCCTAAATTCTATCCTTGGACCCGTACGACTCGCAATTTAATTACACCACCATAAAACAGGAGGAAGTCTGACATTTTGGTCCGTCGTTAGAGGTTAGGTTCGGATCGTGAATCGGTCAATCTTATGAACGAGAATACGATGTATCGTATAATTTCCTCGAGTAGTAAATGCCTTGTATGCATATCTATGACACTTGACGTGTTACAAACCGTGGCGTAGAAAGGCAAATATCAGATCACTGAGAAACATTATTTCTCGGTATATCTGATGTTAATTATGCAATGCTGGAATTCGTGTACTGACGAATTCACTGATACTGCGATAAATTTTATGGTAACTTTTTCAAGCATTATTTTTGAAATAGATAAATATTTAGGATATTCAGAATACTTTGGAGAAATTTATAACATAATAATTGTTACGTATGATGTAACTATAAATTTCTTCTAAATATGATTTTAATAGTGTGATACTGAAATTTATATTTAGATGAACTCGTTGATATTGCAATGAAATTTAAACAGAAATAAATTGTTCGCATAGTAGTTGTTACATGTGATATAATAATATAAAGGAATAATAGTGCAATGAATAAATAGGCAATAATAGTAATGTAATAATAGTAATAATGGTGAAAATATAAAATAAGTTAGAATAGGTTAATTTATAACAATAAATTCACCTCTATCAATGAAATTCGTTAAATAACTTAGCTAATTACTTGAATGCCATTTTTAAAATAAAAATGGTCCATTATTACCAAACACTCAGTTTTCTTCCCATTTATTCGTACTATTCGAAAAATATATATAGGTTTACTTAAGTTCAAAGAATTAACGCAGAATACGAGATAAAATTCGATATTTTGAAGAAACACTAATGGTGTTTTTTAAAATTTCAAAATGGTAATTTTAAATAGTAAATTCATTTGCTAATAAAATTTTGACAAGATTCGTTATAATTTAATAAATCTGTCACGATAAATAGCATTTAATATTACTAAATTAAAAGTAGCTAGAAAGTAACGTTTAGTATACCATTTTCAATTATCAACTCTTAGTAAAAAGTTCTATCAAATTCTATACATTTACGTATTCTGAGGATTCCGGGGAATATAATTACGTTGCATAAACCTTGGAATGTTATAGTCGGTATAATTCACCTATTAGGTTGGTGTCGTACATATCTAAGCAAGCATAAAATTGCTGCTATCCGAGTGCAATAACCCCCAATCAGTTCACCGTTTTTACATTTGCGTGTGCGTCAAAGAATAACTTCTGATTTCGTTTTCCTTTTACCTAACAACCCATTGACAAAATATTTGACAGCGAACATGTCTGATCGTGAGTCGATACCACGATTCGAAGGATTAATTCGATGTGGTAGCATTCGTAGTTATAAATTGTGGCCGTTATGGGAACAGAAAATTATAGGCCGCCATTTTTATCCGTGTAACTATATTATTAAAGTATAAAAGTATAGCATAAAAATGAAATAATTATTAAAAATAAAATTTTCTTGTTTCACATAGTGAGTTTCCATTTGATAGTCCATTTTGTCTCGCGTTTTGGGCATTTAAGATGGCCGAGTTGAGGTATACAAAATGGCTGACGCCTGGTATAAGACGAACGCAATGTAGACACTTTAAATTTACGCCATTTTAATAATATTCGCGTGATATCACCATATCTGATAGTGACATTCCAGTATTGCTCCTTTTAAAAGCTTCACGTCGTAATTCCTGTGAGCTGAGAGTAAAATGGAGGCAATTGTCTGGCTTTATACTGCACTATACATTAGCCATCCTTGAATACTCATCGATTAAGATTTTTCACAGATGGGCTATGCAAATCTATGATGTTTACTTAGCTGTGAATTGCAGCTGTCAATTTGACCAAGAACAGTATCATTAAATAATGAGACATCAGTCGATGATTCAATGATCATACAGGAGAGAAAGCTTTTGATGTAGAGATATTAAAGAAGAGGATTAAAAAAGGTGATAATTAATCTGTCGATTTTTAAATATTTCATGCTTGTCAGGATGTGCCAGCAAAATATGTAAAATATAAAATTAATGTATGAATATATGCAGGGATGTATTATATATAATTTATACATGTACATATATATGTAAAGAATATATGAGGTATATTATTAATAATATTTATTAATTATTTTAATAGT